TATTATAAATATAATTTTAAATATAAAATAGTATAATACTATAATTATATATCATTAAATACAATTAAATTATGTTATAATAAAAAAAAACCAGAGATTAATAATAAATTTGAGATTAATAATAAATTTGGTGTCCAAGTGTAGGTACATGCGCAATCACTAGGACGTTTACTTCATTATCAGTTTATGTTGATTGCAATAATTACCTGCATTTATTAATTTTCAAGTTTAATACCAAATTAGTATTCAAAATTAAATTTTGCATTCTTTAATTTCATATACGAAAAATCTCTTGGCATATACGAAAAATAAATCTGGTTTCACATGATTACTTTTACCAGATACGGTTCTATTAATTATATTTATTAGCATGAAAAAAAAAATGAAAATATGGTAAAGTGCCAAATATAAGAAAATACGTTACAATGTTACAGTTATTTAATCTCAATATAATTTCATATAAAATTTTTCATTTTTTAAGATTGTCATAAATGTACTACTACATAATTTATTTTTATAATAATGCTATTGAAACTTTTTAATATTTATCTCTGTTTTGGATTATTTTAGAGAATATCTTTATACAGATTGCTTAGATGCTCTGCGCACAATGGAGAAAATATTAGAAATAGGAATAAATATTAATATTTAACCTATCAAAATTGTAAAGTGTATTTTAATGCATCTGATAAGTTGAAATTTTAATATTTATTCCTAATATTTGTTCTATTATGTGCAGGACCTTAAAATAATAACACATTTATAATTTTTTTAACAATTATATATTATATTAGCTGAATGAACAAATTATAGATATTTATAAACTGTATGATGTGTGATTTAAGAACAAAGTTTACATTGAATTATTCATTCACTTTCAATTTGGATGACATCTTTTTTTATTTCTACATTATCTGAACTGATGTACATGATGCAATAAGTTGAAGTGAAATAAATATACATTTGTTTCATTTCAATATATTGCATCAGTTCAGAGAGTGCAGGAATAAAAAACAGACCTATAAATTACTCCGTATGAATTATGTATAGCGTACTTTGAATGTCGTTAGCTTCACATATTTCTTTTTGACATTTTTTCAGCAATACATATTTTTACAATATTTCAGCAATACATATTTTCAGCAATACATATTTTTTTTCTAAAAGAATCAAGATATTGCAATAAATTATAGGTATTCGAAAATTCACATATTAATTGTTAATTAATTGATAATCTATACATTAAGTTCAAATAAGTTACAAACCATGTTTTCTATCTAATTTATGAGTTTCTACATGTTTTTTATGTTGAATAATATATATTTTTATGCTAAATAGTGTATAAATTTATTCTATTTATTTGTATAAAATCTATATCTGAGAAGTTCCGAGATTCAATTGCAATCCAATTAGAAGTACATATTCGATGTTCTCAGAAAAATAAAACGTAGTTAACTAGATACTGTGCTGCATAATTAAGACAATGAATAAAACAGACATAGTTAAAGAATTTACAATAGTGGTATTTTAACTTTGTTTAACAAAGAAACATTTTTTTAAATTCATATTGTTAATTAATTAAAAGAGAAGTGCATACTTTCACACAACACAGTAACTTAAAATCTAACAGGATTTACGATCCTTCGGCTCAACTTAATTTTTTGTTTTTTTTCCGAACATTACATCTTTGTGAATTATTACCTTTAGGATTCTTACAATAAGCCATGGCTTGCGCCATTCCCTTTGTCCATTCCCATTCTTCTTTTGTTATCTTCTCAAAAAAATCAGGATCAAAGAGCTTATCTATTTCAGCCTGATCTTCAGATGATAGATTTTGTAGTTATTATTGATCCTCTTATATCAGTTATCACTGATTTTCTTGTATTTGCAAGCTCTGATGAGGTTCAATTGTCTCCTTTATCTCTTTTAGCGACATCTTTAAGTTAGCCTTAATAAATACCTATTAGTTTTCCGTGGTGATAGAATATCTTCTAATATGAGTTCGTTTTAAAAAAGATGCTTTAGTCTAGAAATTTTATTCACTCAGATCTATAAATTTGAGACTCTTTAGTTCTTATACTAAAATTTATTATGAATAAATTTGTGAAAACTCTCATACTTATAAAGAATCAATCTTTGCAGTTTTAGGTACAGGTATTACGTCTAAATTTCAAATAATTAGCCAAGAAATTTAGATAGTTTTTTCTCTTAGACCTCTGCTCCGTAGACTTTAGTCTGTAATACATACAATAATATTTGGAATTATTATACATAGCGTCCCGTGTATACTAACTTATCTATCGTAATTAATAACAAAATTCTCAAAATTTGATAAAATTTTATTAAATATTGCTAATTTATGTGCAATATATTCAAACTCGGAACTTTCTCGACATAGATAATACAAGTGGTCGATTCAAATTAATTTAAAATATCTTTTTTACTAAAAAATAAAAATCATTAATGTACCAATATGTTAATATATGATTAATATATATACATTATATTACAGAATGTGGTAAGAATAATGAATATAACTGAAGTGACTTTTTGTGTAAAAAAAAAAAATCGAAATTATGGAAGCTATGAGAAAGTTGATTTAAAGTCTGTAATCGGAAGACACAGTACTATTTCGGCGCTAAGATAAGCTACTAGTTCTGTCATATTACATGTCCTTATCCTATGCTATTTCATAATTTCTAACACCATCAGTAATTCATATGTTCAATTCTTTGACAAACATATCAATGACCTTAACATATAATGCATTTATACATATTGTATAACCTGTAATTTTTAATACCGTCTACAAGGTAATGAATTTTACGAATGTAATTATAATAGTTAAGATATTAATTAACAAGGTAGATCATATTAACAAGGTATATCATATATAAATTATATATGTAATATTATTATTATTATATACAGGGTGTCTTTTTGATAGGAATAAGATAGGAGCGAGAAATAAAATATAAAAATATAGCTAATATCATTAAAATATTTATCAGTTACGATTTCATATTGATAAAAAATATAATCTTTATATAATCTATAAAATTATGTATATTAATTATAATCAGTTTTGATTATAAAAATATAATATTGTAGAAATTTAGACAGGGAAAAAGAACATGTAAGGCAAATTACTCAAGAATGTTCGTTCTCGCAGAGGTTTCGTGTTGTACAGTTTCGTATCAGGATTAACATAATATAGTAATAGTGCTTTGAAACCGCGAGCCTATAATCGCATCGAGTTATCGACTATATAAAGAACAATAACTTTGCTTACATAATATGTATTTTTCTACGTATATTTTGTACTTGCGAATAAATTTCTAAAAATATTCCGCATGAATTATTCGATTACCCGCTATATAATTTAAATAAAATCAGGAGTTAGCGTGCAAGTAACATATATTAAAGTTTTTTACGAATGCAAATTCTTTTTACAAACGCGAGATTCTTAATTGTTTTATAGAAATATGACACAATATTGAAAAGATAAAGTAAACAATATATTACAATTAATGGACATGATCCCATTATTGAAAGTTTTACAAAAATCATTATTAGAACCAAAATTTTAAATATTAAATATTAAGCTTTTAATAATATGTATGCCTTTAAATAATAATATCATTGTTTATAAAAATTTAATAATTTATGAATGAATTTATTTAGAATTATACATATCATTAAAAGCTTAATGTTTAACATTTTTGTCATTTCGTCCAAAAATTGGATCATGTCCATTGACTGATACATTTACCTTAATATAACATACTTTTAAAATACATATCTTGTCGATATGTCGTCTCGATCCAGATTACGATACTTAATATCGTTTTGGAGAATTATAGCTTTCTCTTGAAACTTTTCAGAATCTTTCGCTCGGAACTAATCGACAACGCAAACGGCAAGCAACGACAAAAAATAATTGAAGATGAATGAAAGAATAAAAGCGAATCAGACAAAAGAATTCAATAAAAGAAGAAAATCTTATAACGTCATCTAATTATTATCTGCTGCTATCCTATTCATTGATATTCATATTAATAATATTTTATGTCGATGCAATATTTTTCTAATAGAAATAATCTGTGAAAGGAAGAATATTTTGAAAATGTTACATCCTATTACGCGCCGCGACTTTAATTAAATGTCTAATGTTTTTGATTCCCTAACATTAATATATTTCATTGAATCTTTGAAATTTGTGCTACAACTTTTTACGTTTTAAGGAAAAAAGGAAAAAAAAAGGGATTTTCTCTGAACATCTCCCTGAAACACTTCCGACATAACAATAAAATTAATTCTATATGTGTCATATACATTTTTCACTTTAATCCTTACTTTATTTCTTCTAATAATTAAATTTTTCCTTATGAGAAATCTCATCAATGCATTACTTTTGCTACTTGGATAAATCGCGCTATTATTATTTTCACAAAATTTCGCTCTTCTCAATAAACAAAAATTTTGAAAATCAGCAAAAATAATTTCGAAGTTACGTCTCACACAACATGAAATATTTCCGAAATATTTTCAAAATATTGCATTGCAAGATTTTAAATACTTCCGAAATGTTTCATGGAATATTTCTGGAATAAAATAGAAATATGTCCAGGAACCCAGAGTTCTTGAAATATTTTTGTTTTCACAATATTTGTACAAAATATTTTAAAGAAACACATTTTATATTTTTAAACAATACTGCAAAACGTTTTATGAAATATTTCTAAAATATTTTTTATTGAAATATTAAAAAAAAAATAATTCACATAAATATTTCAAGCTGCATGATAAATATAGTACTCTTCGTTCTCAATATAACACAGTGAAAGACTCATGATTAAGTCGCTTTCATCAAGATCAAGAAATTCAAAAAATGGTATTTATAACGGTATTTATAACAGGTTGTATAATATAGAAATGTATATTCATACATTTTCACTAAATAGCAAAATAACATATGAGCAGAGTGTAAATCGATTATTGAAAAAGTGAAGTCTCTGATCTAACCAAATTAAATTATATTCACCGATACATCCTTGTATACATACCAGATACATACCAGATATTAATCTTTACATTTATGTAAAGGAATATATATAAAATTAATATTGCGAAATTATTTGCAAAAGTATATTATGTATAAACATTTACTTCTACTAATAGTATCAATTAAGGTCATGTCTTGGTTTTGTCTTGAATCAAGACAAGATTAAAACAAGAAATTGGAAATTGATTTCAAGATAAGACAAGAAATTGTTATCAAGACCAAGATTTCTTGACAATAAGTCAAGAAATTTCTTGAATTTCCGTGACAGTTTTTATTTTTAATACTTTAGTATTTTAATATTTTATTATTTTATTTCTGATTTGAAAAGTTTTGAATAAATTAGATTTCAACATTTTCAATTTATTGATATTTATAACAGGTTGTATAATATAGAAATGTATATTCATACATTTTCACTAAATAGCAAAATAACATATGAGCAGAGTGTAAATCGATTATTGAAAAAGTGAAGTCTCTGATCTAACCAAATTAAATTATATTCACCGATACATCCCTTGTATACATACCAGATACATACCAGATATTAATCTTTACATTTATGTAAAGGAATATATATAAAATTAATATTGCGAAATTATTTGCAAAAGTATATTATGTATAAACATTTACTTCTACTAATAGTATCAATTAAGGTCATCAGGAGTGATTAAAATATAATAATAATAATTATTATTATTATATCTAATAAGGAATCTTCTTAGATATCTAATAATCTGAAATAGAGTTACATTTGTAATTCAGTAACCTCATGATATTAAAAATGATATTTGAGAAATGTTTTTAATCTTTATTAGATTTGTGCATAATAGACATTATAGGCATACTTTTAAACCATGAATTTAAACATAATAAACTACGAGATGACTCGACATTTAATTTGTATCTATGTTTTCTTATTATCTCTTACGACATGATGTAGTCAAAGAATCACAAGGGCTCTGCTTAAAAAATCAAGAAATTTCATTCAGAAATTCAAGATTTTTGAATTCAAGACAAGAAATACAATATCAAGAAATAATCAAGACAAGAATTCTTGTCTTGATGAAATACTAGTCTCTTTATTAAATTATACCTATAAATTGGGAACAACACAAATATTTACAACATCCTAGATTCATCGCCGCGCGAATGCCAAACATTCGCTGACATTCGCGACCGGTTCGTGTCGGTCGGGATGACAAGACGCGCGACCGGCAACAATTACGCGGGCGCGGCATGTCGTCCTGTTGTTTTTCTTGTTTGGAGAACGGTTCGCGTTCCGCCGGGGAACAAGGTTTGCGAGGCGGTTAAAATGGCGAGCCGAAACCAGGCTCGCTGATCAGGATATAATGGGGTATACGTGTCGCACATCGGCGACGATCGCACGGCGTATATATTTACTGTTATAGGACGTTCGCGGGGCGAACGCTGTTCGCCATGGTTCGCCGCGCGCTCGGCGACCTGCGTTGTACCTGCAGCCGACCAGTTCACCAGTATGGCAGTATCGCGAACCATCGCGAACGGCGAGGACTTGATCGCAGATGCCGCCTGCGCCAGTGTAATTTCCCGTCGTTCTAATTCACGCGAGAGAACGTGCGTTCGCCTCGGGAAACGGAATTGGCGACGTTCTCGCAAAAACAGTCTTGCAGAATCATCGGCGATAGTCTTGTTGAATGAATTATTAGATACAGCTGTCTCATTAAGTCTGGTCTCACGAAAACAGAACGGAGAGACTGTACTTCGCGATACTTCGGCGAGATCGTACTATACTTGCACAACAACGCGATCTCGCTGTGCGTCATTATTCGCAAGTTATCGAGGTCTTCGCGTTCGCCGCGGTGATATCAGGTATGATTACACGTGTACAGCCTTCGACGAGAGATATATTCTCAGGTATTCTGATGTAATCCATCCCAAGGAATATATCAAATCAAATGATTTTATTTGGACTTTAAAATGATGACTTTAAATTTGATTATTTATTGAAGAATTACAAGGTTAAGAATTACAAGGTTTAATTGTTTATTATTATTGACGTTAAAAGAATTAATAAAATTGTCATTTTGATTTTGTTGAGACACACACTCTCTGTGTGTTCCTTGGAAAGTACAGAAGCTTACAGCAATATTACTGCAACATTTGCAACATTACTGTAATATTATTGTAACGTTACAATATTGCTTCAATATTTGGAGTCATTTGTGCTGTATGATAAGCGTCACATCTATGGACGCTAGTTCCTTTACACTCTTCTATAGATAGGCCGAATATAACGCTTCTATCCAAGCAGAACAACAACCCATACAACACAGATCATTATAACAATAATGACTGCGTTCAGCAAAAAAAGCAACTTTGCAACTGTTATTCAAATCCAAGATACATACAAAAATCAACAAAAAAATCAAAATGATTTTATTTTTATTCTTAACGTTAATAAACAATCAAATTTTGTAGTTAAAAATTATCATTTTGGCTTTCATGACATCAAAATAAATTAATGATTTTGACTTTCTCTTTAATTTGGTGTATTCCTTAGAGATATCAGATTTTTTTAATATTATGATTGACCTTTCTCTTAGTTTCTCACGAATCTATAAATGTAGAAACCAATCGCATTAAATATAATTTTATAACAATTGCAAAATCGCTTTTTATGCTAAACGTAGTTATCGCAACGTTCCAGCAATATTGTAATTGAAAAAACGTTGCAGCAATATTGCTCCAAGTTCTAATATGCTGTATGGGAAGTCGTGATACATAACGTCAAAATAACATTAAAATGAATCGTAAATGATTGAAAAATGACTTTTAGTAATCATTTTGCAATCATTTCGCTGTCATGATGACTTGTGTTCTGCTTCACAAGCAATCACTTCTCTAGCCAGTCAGACCTCCCTCTATTGAAGGAGTCAAGAAGAAGCTCTATGAATGCTCAAACATCAGGAGAGATACCTCCGGTATGGTGACACATCCGGTACGCAGGAGTTGAACTGTAGCGAGGACTTCGATTGCATCTGAAAGGCTGGAAGTAACGGTGGTTCGTCGAGTGTCATCCTGATCACATCACGAATTGACGCTCGTCGGAAAGAGAACTTTCGGGAACAAACATTAGCGGTGCAGTATATCATGCGCACGAAGAACCATCCCGGAAAATCGAAAGCGACACGACATTCTTACTGTCGGCAATACGCGGGACACGCGCCATCGGCGTAAATATTGAATTGAACAAGTGACGTAATATTAGTTGCGCGAGGCATGATAATAAGCGAGGACGTCGTCGTTGCTCGTCGGCGCACCTCGCGATCAGATAAAGCCGCTCGAAATTGTTCCCCGTTTCGAGGTCGACGTACTGCTCGCGTATCTGCCGCAGAGAAGCCCGATAAAAGGTTCAGTCCGGATCTACCATCGTTGCCAGCCTGCTGTTGCATTCCCGAATTCTCGCCGGCGGAAACGCACGGAATGGAGGTGAGTCTTTCCCTCGCTTCGACTAAAAAGTAAATAAAAAGGAGTTTCCGGAAAGCCGATCGTTTGCTGATACTCCACCCTAGCAAACATCGAATATAACTATGTAATGTAGCTGTAAAATATTTATATATATGTTATATAGCAGTTACATTTATTAGGTCCGGTTTCTCATGTAAAATCTTCAATGTAAAATTATTTTAGTTCAATTTTCTCTTTATTCTTGGAATTAGAAAAAGATAAACAGTAAGTTAAATCGAAGTTAAAATTAATCTTACATTGGTGGAACCGGGCTAAGTTTGTTTTGTGCCCGTTCTTGTCAAATTTAATTTTAATATTAGTTCAACTAACTCTTTACTAGTTCTAAGAATCAGAAAAAGCTAGTGAAGAATAAGTTAAATCGAAATTAAAGTTAATTTACATTGATAGAAACGGAATATTACTTGAACTTGCATATGTACGATTCATCTTTTCTCTTTTTTCTTCAGTGTAGAGAGAAAAGGAGGGAAGAGATGAACTGTGCAGAAAAGTCAACTAAAAAGAACAAGACTAACGTTTGCTGAAACATATTTTCGTAGACTGTCTTAGAGAAATCATTCATTGGAACGATCTAACTGATGATCTGCCGTCCCACAGATGTCCCTTGTATTTCCTGTAATTTAAAGCAATCGAAATACACGTATACTTGAATTTAGGAAAGTTAAAGATGCGTGTTAGACATCAGGAAATAGGAAAATATGGAAAGTGTAACTAAACGGAGCAAATCTGCGTGACGACAGTCTTATTTATCTCTAATGTTCGAGCAGCGAGTGAATTGACAGTTACGCAAAACGCGAATTTATAATACGATTTAGAAAAAAATCAATAGCAATCTAACTAACAGCAATCTGATTAAAAACAATCTTGTTAAATTTCAGAAAATCTTTAGTGAAAACAAACGTCATGCTCTTGTTTTAATAAAATTTTATTTGTTTTAATTAAAATTTGTTTTAATTTGTTTTGTTTGTTTTAATTATAATTTGTTTTATTTATTTTAATTAAAATTTGTTTTAATTTAATTTGTTTTATTTGTTACTATTGTTCTTAAATAAACACGATAATTTTCAATTAGACTGTTTTTTTTTTTATTAATGCTGTTAATTTAATTACAATATCATTTTTTTTCGTGTTCAGACCGAAATGAGATCCCTTTTCGCATTTGTTTCAAAGTGAAGAAACAAAAATTGCTTGATTAATTTGATTTCATTGCACGTCCTTTTTATCTTTCTATCATTTCAAAAGATAAATAAAATAAAAATAAATACAGATATAGAGATAAAAAAATATAATTATTGATTAAGGAAATAAGGAACTTGAATAAATACTTAAAAGATATAATAATTTTATTATTTAATTCGCGTGATGAATATGAATTAAATGTTATAAGAGGTCTGGTTATGAAAAGATTTGGATTCCGCTGAGCGAGAGTTAATTTCACTTCGTACTATTGCGCGTGACATTGCGACTGTGTTTACAATGACATTTTTCATTGAGTCGTCTGCGCAATGTTGATATCATATCTCTCGCACTTCACACAGCTTCTTCATAATGTTTAGTAATTTGGTGCTTTAATTGCAAAAACGTTAGTGTGACGTTAGTGTGACAGAAGAAGAAAAATAAAAATTTTTTGTCTAAATTTAAAAAGTTGAAATAAATGCGTGCTCGTAATCATTTCATGTAACAATTGGTAACAATTGGTAATAATACAACATATTCCGCATATTATTATTATACATTTGTTAAAACAGTCAATAAATTTGTAAACCCATCGCGGCTCCTGTTTGCGGAAAACTTTTGTTCACGTTTCTGCTTCATTCTTAAATTCTAAACAAATTATTAGGAATTGTTATGGAATTCTTATCAAGAAGTGTGTTTGATATTACTTAATGTATTACAATTTTAATATATTAGATATTTTTAAATATATCGCAAGTTGAAACCAACATCGATATAGTAACAGGATCTTAGAGATCCTTTTAAAGCCAATTGACTTCAACTATAATTCGATTCAGTTGACGTAATATTGTACGCGATCTTCATACAGAATGATACAAGACTCAAGATCAAAATGAGGCAATCGTGTTTGACGCACGATATAAAAATATAGATCTCCCTGGAAGAGAACAGAATGACTGTACGAATATATTACAATCAAAAGTCAAGGCAGTAATCTAATTTAAATATATTTTCTTCTTTACATAATGATTAATTTATTATTCTAAAGATACGGAAAGTAAAATTCTAAAAATTGATTTAATTGAAACTTTATAACCGTAGTTACCTTTTATTTGAACTTACTTATTTGAGTCTTAAATATTATTCTACTTACAATGAGTCTCAATATTCTTTGATTTTTTTAATTCCAAGTACTTATATTGTCTACATTTTATAATTTTATAATTTATAACACTTGGAAGAGAATGACTTGGCAATTCAAATGTTAATCGACATTGGGAGAACTGTATCAATCTTAAGTCGGTCGCTCAGATATTCTCGAAGGAAGCGAAGATGGTGCACGCTGATCGAAAGGAGAGACGAAAGAACGGTAGGAAGAGTCGTGGCCCATTTCTTTTAGAAGGGAAACGATGATTACAGTTAAGCCGTTACCTCCGTCGGTGCTCGCTCAGTTTTCTGTGGACGGCATTCCTGACCGGCGTCACGTCACAGCTGGAAATCCTCGTGAGAAACTCGGTATAGCGGCTGCTCGGTATAGCAACAGCTTCTGTCCTCGCCTCGCCTTTCGTACGCTACGCCAACCCTTTTACGACACTTTTCTTGCCAGAGACACCGAGACGAGATATTAAAGCTGGCCTTGGAGTCTTTCTCAGACCTAGTTAATCGCCGCGAAAATTTATTCAAATGACCTTTAATGATATCCAAGCGAATGCTAAGCTTTATGAATCAATGGATAATCGATACAAATATGATAGAAATTGCTCAGCAAAACATAAATAGAATTGCTATATAACATATGTATGTAAATATACACATTTTACATTTATATTACATCCATTGAGAAAATTTCTGGTTCAAAATGGCCGAATTATCAGAAAATTCTGATCATATGAGTAAGAATTTTGATTATTTCAACTAGAATTATAGATCCAACTAAAAAATTTTTATTTGCCCGTCACTTTTAACCAGAATTCCAATTAATGCAACTCTTTTTTTCAGTGTAGCAGTTATATTTGATGTTTACTGGAAAACTGTGAGAAAATAGTATTAGATTAAATAAAAAAAAACTATTGGAACGAATATATTTGACTCGAATGTCACTCTCAAACTCGGTTTTTTTAATTATTTTCAATAATTTTTTGCAAGTCTAAAAGTATTTTCCATAAAGTATTTTTCCGTAAAGAAAGAACAGATTTTTGAGATTTTGATGTAAACGTTTGAAACGGAAGTGACTCAAAGAAAAAGAAAAGTAATAGTGGAGAGAAGATTTTATCATGATAAAAGCACGATGTATTCACTGATATTTAAAAAAAAAACGATTTCTAATAGCCTTGATTTTTACCGAAGGTCATCGCTTGATTCCTGTATCTTTTTCGTACAGAAAATATATTTCTTATTTATCCGTTTCATGACTTCAAAAAATGCATGACATGTCGAGGAAGTTGCAATGGAACACGATATAATTTTTTCTGAAGATAAAAACTGATAATGTTCGATATGCGATCGATAAAGGCAAAGATGACGGTTATTGTTGCAATAAGAAATTTGCTGCACCGCTGAAAACCCTTTCACCTTCCCACCGCACATACATAATTCTTTGAAAGTATTTTATTCTCCACGGTATCATTCGAATGAAATAACATATCTATTTATCAATAATTATTACAATCAATCCATTAATCAATATTGGGTGCCAATAAGCATGATGAGAAAGATATCGAGAGAATTGAATATATATACACACACAAAATGATATGAACATGATATAAAAATTTAAAAGACGTCATCACGCTTTCTTTTATATCTACAGATCAATTATTAGTTACTCTAATAAAAGATCAAATAAAAAGGATCGTTAAAAAGGATCAGATAAATTTTTCAACTATTCGATCGGATCCATATTGAATGTTAGTATGTTAGTACTTTGTTTTGTAAATGGAATTTTAGTGAGATTCCTCTTATCTTAAATTTTTTGAATTCTTTGTAAAGAAATTTTAAAATTCTGATAACGAGTTCGTGTATCACATAACTTAAAATTCTTTGTATTCCTCGTGAAAAGATTTTAAAACCTTAATAACGAAATCATTGAATTTTAATGTTAAATACTCTTGTATCTCTCGAGAAAAGATAAAAATTAAACGGTGTTCCATATTTTCATGTGAGAATGCATGTGCAGGCGGAGCATAGACTGGAGCAGTTAAAGAGAGCGACGGACAGAATACAAAGGGAAATCGAAGAAGTGACCGAGAGGGAACACGAACTGCGGAACGTGGGTAGCATTAAAACTACATCCCATGAGACGGTAGACTTCAAGGTATCTTCAGAATGAACACCAAGTAATACAGTTTAGCGTCTCTGTATCTATAAAAATTGCACGCACCTCTCTTTTCCTTTATAAAAATAAAAATATTTTCGAGTTTTAATTCCCTGAAGAAAATCCATACAGCACAGAATTTGCAATAATATCGCTGCAAAATCTCTGCAATATTGCTAATAATAATTTTATTGTTTTGTTTGTACAAATATTGCTAATGTTGCGGCAATGTTATTGCAACTTTTGTGCAACTTTGTGCTGTAGGAGAAAGATTAAAATATGAAAATATGTTTAGAAATCGTCTCGAACACGAAAAGATCCACTTGTGTCTTAAAATAATATATAATTAGTAATTTTATTGCATAGGTGCGCCGTATGCCACAAGCTCTGGCCTCGGGAAAATTGAAAAGAACGACGTCTACACCACAAATACTGGAGACAGTCAGCCCGACGTCGCGGTCGCCAAACTTGACGCCAAAGATGACGAACGGCGTGATATCTACGCGCACGACGTCGACACCGCTGCGTTTTGCAACCACGCCAAATCAGAAGGGTTTGATGCACAGGTTTCTAGCTACACGGGGAAAACTCTATAAGAGTAAATCGCAAAACGACGATAATTTGAATTCTCCCATAACGCCCGTTATCACGCTCAATCCTTTGAGTATCAAAGCCTTTAACAGAACATTGGAAATACCACTGGAACCGAATGACGAGCCAAAGAAACCATTAACGAGGAAAGGATATGTTCCTGTCGAGCAAAAGATTCAAAAAGAGTTACATGACATGAAAGAACGAGAGAACGAATTAAGGTATCAAAGTTTTCACTTATCAAAGAATTTACTTTATTTTTATTGAACGATTCAGATAGTTTTTAAAATAACAGATTAAAGGGAAAATTAATTTGAGATTGACTTTTTAATTGTTTAAGAATAAGTTTTGAAATTTATTAATAAAGCGATTTGTACTATTATATTTCCAATTCTGTAACAATAATAAATAATAGTAATTTAAATAATAATATAATTAAATAATAATATAATTTAGATTTATTTAACTGATTTATTTATCTGATTTTGTTTGCAATGAAGAAAGCATTAAAAAGTTAAAATATCATGTTATCTAGGCAAATTGCTGCATGTTGTAACAAAAATTACATAAAGGAGTCTTTTCACTTGATTATAACATTTGCAAATTAATTGATTTGTGTAAATCTCGTTTTATCTTCTAGATTGATGAGATCGCAGATGTTAGCAAAGTCTCAGCCAAATCTACTTGATATAGGAAACGATAACGATTCCGATATTTACGACGGTTCCAGTTCCCTTAGAAGTGGCACTTCCACTAATACCTTGAATGAAGATGAAATCGAGAGAGAACATAAAGGAAAACACAAGGTTAATAATGTTTCATTTTTTACAATCAATGACTATCATCAAAATAAACGTTAGTTTATAATAAATATAATTCTTTAGATCGCATTTATTGATAGTTTTACTAAGTGATAAAAAAAATCTTTTATTTGTAGCCTAATCCACGACGTCGTAACACACTCATCGAGCAATGGGAAAATCTGATAGCAGCCAAGAGAGAAGCTATTGAGAATAATAATGAGAAAGATAGAAACTACTTTTGAAAGTTTTACTATTTGCAGACAACAACATCGTCTTTATCTTTATCCTATCGGTATCTCGTTCTATCTAAATGGTTGATTGTAAATTAATAATACTTATTAATATTACAGTGGATAATCATATTGCAATAAGAATATTGCTCCATCTTTCTTGCATATCTTAAATAGATATTTTCTTGTTTTTTATCTTGTTTTATATAGTTTATTTACGAATGATTCATTTTTGTGTTTGAATATTTATGCGCTCTAGTATTATAATTAAAATTTAATTCAGGTCGCGGCTGCGTGTTTTCAGTATTAAGTTATTGGTTAAATAATGTTATTAAAATGCAACTATAAAATTGAAGAATTTAAAAAAAAAATAGAACACATTTTATTTCATCATTATTGATGAATTGGATAACATAAATACAATATGTAAAATATTCTTACTCGCGAGCGAGTAACTGAATTTTCGTATGTTATCATCTAATGTGTAACTTTGCGAGTGTTAAGTGCTTATTATAATTGTTAGTTCACTCGATTTGGACGTGTATAGTATTAAAAATATGTGTATCAAATACTAATTAGTCGTGAAGACAGATAAGATATTCGATGGATACCTGCATGTGAAAAATCCAATTGTAATAATAATATTAAATAATATTGCATTAATTGCAAATATTTGTTTTGTCATATCTGGCACTTTGTTTGGTTTCATTATTACCACAGCTCACTACCTTAATAACACTTCATTAACAAAAAGTATTATAATAGAATTTATAATTATAAAGATATATTATAATGTTCGATTTTTATTTTAAAAAATATCTATTGCAGCACAGTTAAGCATACACTGACGCATAAGGCAATAAATAAGGCAATTAAAAATTTAAATAATTTTCAAATTACTATTGATCAGGAGACTTTGTATTATTATATTAAATTTTATTTAAAAATAGGACGGATGAGACCTGAGAAAGCATATAATATATTATTATTTTTTATAATTTTAATAAGATATAAAATCATTGTTTGTAGTTTGTTTTATGCTATTCATCACGCGATTGTGTGCCGGTGATGAGAAAGATTGATTTATGTCTTTATTTATAATTAATACTTATCTGATCAGTCGTGGACGTAGCAGGAAGAAAATTAAAAAAACATGATTATAGCATAGAAGAAAACCACAAAATAGTGAATATTATCCATTGAGAAGGTATGTGAACATTGGCTACGTAGTTCAATCTACGTTTTAAGAATATAGGAATATAGAGGCGCTTCAATATAAAGCCCACCTGTCCACGCGGTATCTTCTTTTGTGTGAAAAATAAAAAACCAAACGTAAAACAAACGCAGTATTTTTCCACATGTTTATGATTATATTATGACATTATGGCCTCACATATAATCGAAGTAGACGAAGACATAGAAATTAAACTTTTACTTAATTTCTCTATAAATAAAGGTATATTGTTATTATATGTTACTGTAAAGTCATAAAATTCAATAAAATATACAATGACTTTTGAATACACATATATAGTATATTTTAATATGTAGAAATTTTTCTGTTATACTAATGTTTTTTTACAAGAATATATAATTCTATTTCAATAATTATTTTTTATAATTATTATATCTATTTAGTTTCAGATTTACCAAATAATGTATGTGAAATATTAAACGGCCGATACGAAGATGTAATAAATAATGAACTTTCCATATTTATTGAGGCAATAAAAAATGGTGATAACTTAGAAGAAATTATACATAATAGTTTATCTGAAACTCATACCCATCTGTCATGGCTGTGTACAGGAGTAGCTTCGTTATTATACTTTATTCAATGCAATTGGACAGGGCCTCCTATTGATAGAGATATTGATTGGTTGAAAACCAGAAGAGATGAAGCACTCAACCATTTGTCCTTATATGATGGATGTAATATAAATATACGAAAACCAGAACTTATTTATCTGTCTAAGAAAATATTTTCTGACGTAGATCTGCAACTTAAATATAAAAGTTGTATTTGGTGGTTGTTTAGAGCTACTCTGATGCATCAACATATTTTAGATGAAAACACAGGAGTATTGTTTGAAGAAACTGAGAATTTAATAATAGAAATTAATAATCTGAATATATTAGAACATCCTCTTTGTAAGCTTTTATTCAACCTGGAAGCTGGTACATTTTATTTGTACTATAAAAGATCACAAAATTCTGAAAAACATCTTGAATGTGCACAAAAAATAGCAGGCTTAAAATTAAATTTAGAAGGTGCAATGGGAAAACGTACCAAGTATCAACAAGAAGAAAAACCGCAATTATATCTCAAAATAGAAATGAACAAGGATACTTTCCTTTCGATAGATTGCGAAAATGTACCAAGATCTTTGAGTTTAAATGATTTTGATGATTTGAGATTAGACTGCATTGAGTTTTCAGAACATAAAGAAGAAATTAAATTAGGTATGATAGAAGAAGCAATAATTTTAGGAAAATAGTAAGTATAACAATATATTTGTATTCATATCAATTATAGCGTGTAATTATTATAACATAGAAAGATTTTAATAGTTAACAGTGTTCAGTTGCAGCTGTGTCAACCTACGTACGAACTTACTGATGAAGAAATCAGGCCCTATCTAAGTGTAAGCTGTAATATTAACATTGAATTTTTCTTTAATAAATTTTTCTTAATAAATAATATAGTAATTTATTATTAATAGATATTATTAAGAAATTCTTGTAGAGAGTTATTGAGAGTACAAAAAATTGGTCATTAAAGATGACTTCTTTATACTATCGTTGCTCATCAGAGTCTAATAATAAAAGAACTATCAATAGATCAATGAAGCAAACACAGTCTCTAATAAATGATTATAATGATGTAAAAGTACCTACAGCCAGAAGAATGGATTTATTTTTTGCAAGTGGTATGAGACCGATTTGGATGTTGGAAGAGAAATGGGCTAATTTAATGTTCAGTTTTGGCGATGTAAAAACAGCTCTAGAAGTTTTTATAAAATTAGAATTGTGGGAAGATGTGATTGTCTGTTATAACGTGTTAAATTTGAAACATAAGGTATATTTTATATTAAATATATGATAAATAGTTATATAATAAATAACTAATGTGAACACTTTTTCAGGCAGTTGAAATTATCGAGCAGGAAATATCTAAGAAGCCAACAGTAAAATTGTGGTGTCTGTTAGGAGATGCAACTGGGGATGTGAGTCATTATGAAGTGGCATGGAAATTGTCCGATGAAAAAAGCAGTAGAGTACAAAAACATTGGGGATTATATTATTTCGCAAAGAAAAATGTTAGTATTTGAGTCGCTAACTGCTAAAGTAAACCTTTATTCAACTCTTAATGTAAAATTTATTTTTTAGTATGTCGAGGCAATACCACATTTAAAGCTATCAGTTGAATTGAATAATATTCAGGAAGACGTGTGGTTTAGATTGGGTTATGCAGCATTACAGATCGAAGATTGGAAGTTGGCTGCTATGGCATATAAACGTTACTGTTCTTTAGAACAATTTGTATGTACACATATTTCTGATATTACTACTTTCACAGTCGATATGGATTTCATAAAATTTTTATTCTATCTAAAAATTTCAGGCTTTTGAAGCATGGAACAATTTAGCAAAAGCATATATAAAATTGGGAGATAAAACAACAGCTTGGAAATTTTTACAAGATGCCATAGCATCTTGTTACGATTGTTGGCAAATATGGGATAATTTGATGATCGTAAGCATTGATTTGGGACATTTTTCGGAGGTAAATATATATAATATTTTACAAAAATTCTCTGTTCAAGTATCTAAATCGATTTTAAAATTTACATTATAAGTTACATTAACACATTTAAAATTACAGAATTAGTTTATACGTATACATATATTAAAAGTGAATATATATAATTTATATTTGATATAAATCTTTATATTACTTATTAATAGTTTTAAATAATTTATTTACAGGTTATTCGATGTTATCATCGTATTTTGGATTTGAAAAATAATCATTTAGATGTTCAAGTTCTCCAAATATTAACAAATGCTATAGTAAATAATATTAGTGATGCGAACGGAAATCCAGCATCTCGTTTGCTTCAAAATAGTTTGGAATTATTTGGAAGAATCACTTCTAATATACTTAATAATCCAGATATTTGGAGAATGTACGCTGAACTTGTCGTACTGAAAAAAACAGACGTTGACGAAGAGAGAGCGGCACAGTATCTACAAAAAGCATATCGTTTTATCACTTCAAATCCATGGAGTCACAGCGAAGCTGCAACTCTAAAAGTACTGGATTTATGTTGTGATTTAGCACAAGCATATTTACGTTGTACCACTGATATTGCAGTTATCAAGAAAAGGAAAATGTTAGGAAGCGCTAAATTGTCGCTTCTAGGAGTCGTGAAAAAAGTCAAGGAACAAGAGTGGAATAATACGAACATCATCGAACAATTCATGAAAGTTGAAGAATATTTAACGACTATAACGAATGAATTAGAACAAATAAAACCTACATAATAAAGATATTACTAGAAGAATTCTTTTTCTACAGAACTTTAAAAAATCAATGATATGATTGATTCTAATAAGATAGTTTCACAACAAACAATATAAATATCTTTTAAATTCTATTTCATATGCATTGTATATAATTAATTATTGTAATCAATTATTATCATTGATAATATTCTACATACACATATATGTTAGTCATACATATAAACTGAAAGTCAGATATTTATCGTATCAATATTCATACAAATAATATCTTTATTAGCCAGTTAGACACACTTATTATAATTTAATCTAAATAGATAAAACTCGTTACAGACTGTAATACAGAAAACATTTAAATTTATTGCATTTTCTATATATGTATATATATTGTAAATTAAGTTCCTTAAATGGAACAAAATTTAAGTTTCTAAAATAAAAAAAAACAACCTGTTATATTAAAATTTTTGTGAAAGTAACTTAAATAAGTTTCTAAAGATAATTTTTTAATTTTTGAACACATGTATATATATATATATA